TATGAAATATTCCTCCAGTCTTGCCATATAATTGCTCGCCAAGATGGAAGCCAGGTAAGATCCCATTGCTAGTCCTTGTGTTTATTCATATAACTTACCATCAAAGGTAAAATATGTGTTACTCCTGGATAGGTTAATAAGTCTTATAATGGAAGCTACGTTCAGCTTATTCCTTGTGTTATCTCTGGATGCTCCTGCAGAGTTTGTATCAGAGCTTGAATAGCTCATTGAGCAAGAATATTTGTGTTCATAGACACAACATCAAAACTTACTAGCCTATCTTCTGAAAGTATCTGCTGATCAATCAATTTCACAAAATCATAAGAATTTTTACACTAATATAGCCAAAAATTGGCAGAGTTCCTTAGTTGTATGCCTAAAAAGCATGAAATTTTATGCATCATGCTTCCTTTATTATTTACAATTAATCTTAGAGAGACACTCTCCTTGTGAACATTAAGGAGACCGTAAGCTGGGTGGGCCCTTGAATCCCTCTTAAGTGGCGAATTAATTTTCCACTTCTCCATTTCACCATTACTTACGCATACCTTAAGGGCATCCTTTAGCCTAGTCTTAAGTCTTTCTGTTGGATCTCTTAGTAAAGGCATATACGTGTCATTGTCATTTTTTCTTTATGACTTGATCTAGCCATGACTAACGCTGCTCCACCTTTGTGAATCTCATCATGCGCTTTCATACGAAAGGAATGTCTCTACAACAATGTTATATCAGGAGATTCATCGAAACCCAGTTTTTTTCGTATCTACAGTGTCTAACCTAAGCGGTATGTTAGCTACTTAATATTCCCTTGCGTATTTTCCCATGTCAACCTCTGATTGGTCGGTACGGTGCCAGGCTTTGATTAGTCGGTGAAAAATAAAGAGTGAAGATGAATCATGCACTCTCGTGATCTCTGTGTCCAAGACTGTTAAGCCATGGTTACGTACGCGATGTAGCAAAACTAAACATTGAATGGGAAAAGTGTAGGAATAGGTCATTACATGTGCTTGTTTACGCAAGTAAACATTTTATTTTGCCTATATTTGTTTAAACTTTGCTCTTTTTTATGATAGGTGACAACATGCTAACTGCCCTCTCAGTAGCCCGTGATTGCGAGATGATCGACGAATTGGATCGCGTTATTTTGGTTTCTGCTCAGCCACCGCCCCTCTCATCGCCCAAATCGGAGCATCTGCGGCGCGTATGTTCCTCTCATATCCAGCTAGATGCAACAGCTACTGGTAAACTTTATTCTAACGGGGTCGGAATTAAGGCGAATGAACCAGGCTCGATCCAAAACATCACCAGCGTAAATGAAGATAATCAGAGATCTAGCGACGCTGTCGGTAGTGGTTGTGATGCTATTCGGTCGTCTTCTACTTTTGCTCCGCTAGATAACGCCGGATATCCGGGAGGCGATACAATTGTCCCGGTGAATTAACTGAATCTCTTGTTTTCAAGATTAATTTTCTTATTATCAGAATTATTCTGTTTAGGCAGTTTTATACATATTAGATTTCAGGTCCAATCTAATGTCCAATTTGTATGTGATTTAAATATACTTCCATTTGATTTTTACATTTTGGTCATCTTTGCTGCGTCTACTATTTAATTGGCTGTCCACGACAAATAGAATCAAAGACAGCACTGAAAGAGCTTGGTCTTTTTTCTTAAAAATAGTCTCAGAAACATAAAATGAGATTGTAGATATGAAGAACAAGATGTCGTGGTCTTAGATATGGTTGTGATCTCCTTTAGCTATAATGCATTGGTTTGACCCCGATTTTATCAACTTCGTCGCAGTGACAGGGAGACCTTGTGGAGCACATCTAGTCTTGCGTCTTGTACTATAGCATTTTTGATAATTTTCCACATTGAGCAATTAACTTAATATATTGCCAAACGTTTTATTGGCATCATAATTGGGATCGTTTGTGAGGATAAAGTTACAACTTATCAAAGTGGTAGGTGACAGCAATCCCTTTGACCAATTTTTTGTTCAACAGTTGTGATACCTATCCTATCCCTTATCCTAGATTCTAGCACTGTATCCCTATCCCTAATATCCACTTTAAATGGTCTATTTACCTGTCTGCTTCTTCGCCTGCTCCAGTGTTGGCCAAGACTATCATTTAAAGTAGATTTAGTGATGCGTAATCACCTTCACATCGGTTTCAGATGCCATTTTCAAAGTTTCTGGGACCCAATCAACACTTCCATTTAGCTTCTTTCAACC